CTTATCTTTCCGCAGACAATTTTGTAAAATCTGTATTGATCTTCTTTATCAATATATATTTTAAATTTGAAAATTGTGTTTGTATTCATCCCCCCCCCTTCTACAAACTGTTTAGTATTCTTGTAGACCCTTTGGGACCAACATCTTTCTTTCACTTCGGTTCTGTTTTCTCGAGCTCAAAACACACACCGAATAATCTCATTGCTTTCTTACTCACTTTTACCATTCTAATGAGATAAATAAAATATATCATCAATAAAAAACATTTAAATTAATGAGGCGTTGGTGGTTAAAAATATTTAAGCACATAACCAATTTAATCTCCTCAACTTACCACCATTAATCAAGAACTATCCCAAACTTTATGACCGATAAACCGGTTATCACATTTAATGGATTTTTCAATGGAAAAAAAAAGATTTATAAACTAAACTGTTCAAATGAAAAGTATAATGGTTTTCTCATTTAAAAAAAAGTTTAGAGACTAAACAATTCAAAATGAAAAAGTTGGTTGAGTTTTATTGAACTTTTCCCCAAAACAAAATATTATAGACCAATGTTAATTTTAACATTTTTTTTAATAATTATTATAAAAGGAAATTGAAATGTTAAAAATTAGTTGATATAGGTAAATAAAATCAGGAAAATTAATTAAAATAGTTATTTTGACCTTTTGGTTTCACCTCTTATCCAATTCTCTCAAAATCACATATATGTCACTCCCTCCGTAAATTTCAGCTCCACAATTTGTGGACTTAATTAAACGATAAAAAGTTCATTTTTTAACACTTGTAGAAAATTTGCGGATGTGGCTGAAAAATGTAAAAAAAGAAAAAGAAATTGTGGACGTGAGTGAAAAACATAATTTTTTTTACGAAGGTGGGTGAAAATGTAAATTTTTATGTTGTTTAGCTAGGAAGTGATATTTGTATAATTTTTTAGGAGAGAAATAATTAACAAATAAAACTATGCTGTTAAAATGACTATTTTAATTAATTTAAAATAAAAACTGTTACACACCGACACAATAATAGAAAAATAGAAAAAGGTAGTTCTACCTTTGTTCCGTTGATTCCTAACCCTAACCCTAACCCTAATCTCATTAAATTCTCTTTCTTCTTTCTATTTGTTAATTCCTTGGAGTCAAGTTAGGTATCGAAATGGTACCCACATACACGAGATGTTGTAATGTTGACAATTTATGAACATGCATCACTTGGAGTTGAAGGTTGTTCTTATTTTCCAAAAGTGATGTGTATAAGGTAGTATGGGTCCAATGGTCTTGGATGCTCTGTGCTGTGACCCAAAAATATGTCCCTAATCTAATAAACAAAGAACACACAAATTTTTAGGGGGTTTGGAACCTAGTCAAGTTAAGTGGCTCATCCTCATAATAAGTAATACTTAGAAAAAAAAATTTGATTTTATAAGACGCATAAAATATATAAGCATCTTAAATAAGTACTTTATAGGACATAAGTTTGTATGACTAAACCTAAAAACATCATATCTAAAACTGTTACAATAGGTTTATAATTTTAGGCTTTTTAACAAGTTGTTAGGATTGTTTTTGAATAAAGTGTCATATTAACTAATTTTATATAAGGTTAAATGCATGAAATAACAACATACTTTCATAAATTTTCTTATTATAGCATTCTACTTTTGTTTTTCTTTATTACAGCAATGTACTTTCAAATTATTTTTTATTAAACTATCGTACGTTAAAAAATCTACTCATAATAGCAATGACTAACCTGTTACCTTTTAAACCGGTTAACCCTTGACTTTTTTTGTTTGTGTGACTTTAATGAGGTGATGTGGATGACACATAATTTTGATGACTTAACTAAAATAAAAATAAAAATATATTTTAAATCATTATTAGTGATTTTCATTGCTATGATATAAGAAAACATTTTTTTTTACTTTTTCTTATTAAGTTGAATGCAAATTAAATATTTTAGAGTAAAATATTTCTTAGATAAATATGAAACATTATTATAATAAGAAAAACTGAAAGTACATTGTTATAATAAGAAAAACTAGAAGTACAATGTTATAATAAATGAAATTTATGAATTATATAAAACTATTTGAAAATATGTCCTATAAACAAAAATGTCCTATAAAAATGGGTTTATAATTCTCAAAAGTGTTCTATAAAAGAGCGAATAGAACTTTATAAGACACTTTATTTTAAAAAAAAAACTTGTTAAAACGTCTAAAATCGTTATATAAAACTATTGTAAGACTTTTAGATATGATACTTTATAGTTTAATCCTAAATACCTAAGTTATCAATACACTTGGACAATCTAGGCGTCTTATAAAGTGAATTTTGTTGTGGTATCTAGAGCACTGTTAAAACATGATCACTACTAGAAAACAAGGTATCAACAACGAAAAAAATCCCTCCCTGATCAGCGAGGGATCATCGAGGGATGATTAAAAACTAGTTCCCTTGCTGATACTTTGCTGATCAACGAAAGAACAATGAGAGAATTGACCAAAAACCAGTTCCCTCGTTGATCAACAAGGGAACAACGAAAGAATTGACCAAAAACCAGTTCCCTCGTTGATCAGCGAGGGAAAGAGCAAAAACTAATTCCCTAGCTGATCAGCGAGGGATCTGACAAAAAACATTTTTCCTCGGTAATCCCTTGCAGATCAGTGAGGGATCAGTTAGGGAACTAGTCAAAAGTATTTTCCCTCACTAATCTCTTGTTGACTTCTTATTTAATAACAACAAATTTAATTTATTACTAATTTTTAATTATTGATTATTAAATTATTAATTATTTATTAGAATATTACAAAAATTAATTAATAGAATTGAATAAAGCCCATTAACCGAATAAAGCCCATTAAACCCAATAAAACCAAATAAAGTCCAATAAAACCGAATAAAGCCCATTAAGCCCAATAAAACCGAATAAAATCCAAGAAAATGAATTAAGACCCAATAAAACTGAATAAAGCTCATTAAACCAAATAAAGCCTAATAAAACCGAGTAATGTCCAATAAAACCGAACAATGCCTAATAAAACCAAATAAAGTCTAATAAAATGGATTAAGGCCCAATAAAACTGAATAAAGCTCATTAAGGCCCGATAAAACTCAATAAAGCCGATAAGTGGATTAAGGTTCAATAAAACCGAACAAAAACCAATTAAATGGGTTAAGGCCCAATAAAACCGAATAAAGCGCCAAATAACACACATATACTATCTATACATTTACATATACACATATGTTTAAACATATATACATCATCCGATATATGTATCTTAAACAATATATACATCGATCTTTCCACATTTGCATATAACCACGTATTTTATATATAAGAAAATACAATAATACATCTTCAGTCCCCAAGAGTACAAGAAACTATATTATATAATCTACAACTCAAAAATTCCAAAATAATATTCTTGTACATCACTTGTATAAATAACACGTTTTGCAAAAATGCATCAGATATTATGTTGATCTTCCTAGAGCAGTTAAGCACAATAGTCTGACCTGCAATTCATAATTTTGAAACACAAAATGAAAGTTAGACCTTGAGATCTAGTGAGAAATATCCTTTCTTTGCAATTATAGGATGAGAAAACACTAAAATCTATTATAAAAAATCATCTTTGCCAACATACAATTATATTTCAACTTTTTAAAATTCAAACTCAGATATCACAATCCAATAACTTGATACCTTCATCTGCTTTTTCTTTCTTATTCCAAGATTCTTGGACTGAATTGCTCATTATTCTTTTGAAATCTTTTTCTTCTTATTGGAGAACACATGTTCCACGATGGCATATATTATCTTTTTCTTTTTGAGTCGAGTAAATAATCCTTGACGATGAAGTAACTAAAGCTACGTACCATACATATATATAACTTGCTAAGAAAGTTTGTTTCAGAATTGAATTCGGTAGCTACATTGTTCATACAATTTGTTATCAATAAACCCACAACATTTTAATTACAAACAAAATTCCACTCATAGAGGAGTAGTAGTAGTAGTACCACCCTAATACTTAAGAAAATTGTACCACTACTTAAGTAGTGTACTTTCACATTAATTAACTCTTATGAGTAGACGTGTCAAGAAGTGATTGGAGGGAGACTAAGTCGGTTATGTAGATGAAGTTATTTACTGTCTTGTGATAGATGTAGTATAAATACAGTAGTTGCATTGTAACAGATCATTAAGTCCATGAAGTAAAATCACTCACCTCTCTCTCACCCTTCCTCTATTATGCGTATAGTAACCAACCTAAGTGGTTTCATTTGTATCTTGGCTTTCTTTGGTCACTATACTCTTAACTCTATATAATTTAATTTGGTTACTAGTTATAAGGGATTATATCAGGAAAGCTGAAATTTCAAATGGCAACCATCGACGTGAAGAAGGGAGATGTGGAGACCAAACAGATGATCCAGGTTCTTGTTGAGAAAGAAAAAGAAAGACGAAATCATCGAAACAACAATGCACCCTCCATTTACATCGTTGACAGTATCCTACGCAATCTCAGCCCAAATTCGTTTGAGCCTTGTGTCGTCGCCATTGGACCTCTCCACAAAGAAGATGAAAAATTGCAAGATATGGAAAGCCATAAAGTGACATATTTGCTTGATCTATTTCTTCGTTTACCATCCATGCCAGATCGAAAGATGGACGAATGCATTGAAAGGGTGTATGCGAATGTAGAACAAATCAGGGCATGTTATGCTGGGAAAATGGAGGCCTATGATGACTGCCAAGTTGCAAAAATGATGGTCATTGATGGTTGTTTCGTGCTTGAATTCATTCTCAGGGTCTGTAACTATCCTGACGAGGATCCAATCTTTTACAATAAATTGGCCTTTCAAAATGTTATGCGTGATTTGCTCCTGCTAGAAAACCAGATACCTTTCTTTGTTCTTCAGGACATCTTTAAGTGCACCATCTTAGAATTTGATCCATCATCTTCTCTGCAAAGCTTAATCTTTTTATTTCTAAGGCCTATCAATCCCTTCGACATATCGTATGTAACCAACATTAATGATGGGGTGGATACAAGTTATGAACATGTCCTTGGCCTTCTGCAGAAATTTTGCCAGCCTGCTGATGCTAAGCCATCTGGAGTTTCAGTGTCAAGGTTCCATTCAGTTGAAGAACTGACCAATGCAGGGGTGAACTTTAAGCGTAATCAAGATAAAAGATGGCCACTCGCCATGGAATTTAAAGCATCGTGGTTTCCATGCTTTGGTTGGGCGTGGGGTAAGCCTACTTTCACAATGCCAGTACTGTATATTGAAGATCACACTGAGTCAGTTTTGAGGAACTTAATTGCATATGAGCAATGTAGTCCTCTAAGTGATACTTACATTACATCATATGCTGTTGCCATGGGTATGCTGGTGGATACTCAAGAGGACATTGTCAAAATGGTAGATTCAAAAGTTCTCATAAACAATTTGGGTACTAACCGAGATGCAGCAAATATGATCAACAACATATGCGAAAATGTTGTCCTACAAGATTTCTGCTATAGTCAACAATGTAACCAAGTGGGTTCATACTACGATCATTGCTGGCCCAAATATATTGCACCGAATATGGCAGGGCTGAGGCGTACTTATTTCAGTAGTCCATGGAATTTCGTTGCGCTAGTTGCCGGAATCATCCTCTTTGGTCTTACTGTCATTCAAACGTACTATACCGTCAACCCTGCGGCTTGAGATCTAATTCAAAGAAACTCAGACCGCAACTACAATAAAGTGTATCACAATGTTTATTTTTCGAAGCGTATCAAGCAACATTCTTTACGAAATGTATCACAATATGTATTTTCGTTATATTCATTGTTTTATGAACCATCATTTTGTGCATTTTCATTATTTTTGTTGTTTTACTGATTAAATCTTGGGTATCATTGTGAGAATCGTTTGTATGCATATTTTTAAACAGAGTTGATTTTTGGTATCACAGATAGTGTTCGATGGAATAAGGTCTGCCAAAAATGTAATAAAATTTAAAAACTCATTTACGCGCCTGATTAAGTGAGGGCGATTAAGGGTAAAATTGGAATTGAGAACTTCATTCTATTCTAAGCATTGATTCTATGAAATTACGCCTCCGATAATTACTCTGCAGGATATGCGATTGGAGATATTTATTGAAGGAAATCGATTTCGTAGAAGAACAGATGGCAGACAATATTCATCCGGGTTTAGTCATTGCAGGAAATCGAGGTAAGAAATTTGTTGACTGCATTTTGTATAATGTTGTTATATAACCTTAAGTTGCGATATCTCTATGAATCAGTACGTAAAAGGAGCGAACGAATCATGATAAAGAATTATTTCTCTAAGTTCAAGAATACTGCTGCAAATCCAGTTGTTCTAGACGAAAAAGACCTTGATTATCATGTAGTGAACCCCCAAGCAGTCCAATCTAATGAACGTATCATTCCGGTCCAAGAAACAGGTGATTCAACACATGACAAGGGTTAGTCAATTTGAACATTTATTGTTACCTTAATGATTACTACTCCAATTTCCTGACATAATGAGTTTATCTTGTAGTGAGTTTATACTTCTACGCATGGATAATTGGTACAACAAACTTATTATATACTCGAGTTTTTCAGATACACTCCTTCGCTTTCGTTAAAATTAGAAGTCATAAACGAGCTGGTTATGATTTATAAGATAAACTTATTTTGAAATTGAATTGTTCATAGATACATCTTCTGTTTCAACAACCAATACAAATGAAAAGAGTCGATTATGAATGTTCCATTATGAATCTGGAAATACTTAATATATGGATGAAGCTAGTTCCATTATGAAAAGAGTGATGAATAGTAACAAATTTCATATAATCTTTGTATTCAGAAAGCACTAGGATCAAGAATTAACCAATGCTTAGGTATTTTGGACTCGGGTAGTGTTATTAAATGGTTACCCTTAAACAGCAGCAACATCATCATCGACAAAATCAAATTCGACTTAGATGTAAACAACAACAGTATCTTTGTACGTATTGCGATAATTACTCTCCAAAGAAATCAAATTCGACTTACAACAATGAAAGCAAATCAATACCTTCAGATTCATTACTCAACGATGCAACATCATCATTGAAAAAATCTTCAAAAACTTCGTCATTAATCGAGACATTGTGCTTACGTATTGTTTCATTTCGACCGCTGCAACCATCCTCATCCCTCGCTGAATAATTGCATTGATCTTGGATTATATTATCATTATCTGCGGTTGCATTTTCACCAACAACATCAAAAACTTGACAGTCGTTCGTGGAATCGAAAACACCAATTTCACCAACAATATCCTTGTTGATAATAGTCTAAAGAATGGTTTCAGCTCCTGGTTGGTCGTTTGCATATTCATTTTGTATAGTTTATAGAAGGTATATAATTTCCATAATTGATTGAATTATTAGGAGGAAATTGAAGGATTCACCATAAATAGGATATAATTTTTTTTAATTAAAAATGCTACTAATTATCTAAAATTAGTAAATGACAGATTTAACATTTTCAATTAAAAAAAAAAGAATTCATTGATTGGATAGAAAATGGTTGTAAGGGTTGTGTAAATGGAGTTGATTGTATTTAAAATATACCATAGACTTGGGATCATATGAGAACAATGGTTTTCCGCGAGTCCCGTAAGACTAATTCTCAACCCTTGGATTAGATTTACAATCGTCAGATCTGAACATTCATAAATGCCACGAGACTTCTCAATAATTACAAAATTGCCACCTTGCAAATTTAGACCATTAGATCGTTAGCTTATAAAGTTGATCAATGAATATAAATTGGTCTTATGGGTCTCACGCAAAACCCTTGGTCTCACGTGAACCCAACCCATATAATATATATATATATATATATATATATATATATAGGGTATATTTCAAATGCAACCATGTCCATTTGTACAACCAATGCAACCCAATTAATTGAGATATTTATAGAAATGATAGGAGTTCATTTATTATAATTTGAATATTTATGGAAATTACATATATATATATATATATAGAGAGAGAGAGAGAGAGAGAGAGAGTTTGGTTATTATACAACCCCTTACATTTGTATAACCAATACAACACAATCTTAACCGTCTATTTAATTTGATGAATATGTAATTTTATAAAAGTTTTGATTGTTTCCTAATATAAAATATTGATCATAATTAATTAACTTAATTCATATTCCATAAATATTCAAATTATAATAAATGTATTCCCATCATTTCTATAAATAAATAAATATATATCTATATATATATATATAGAGAGAGAGAGAGAGAGAGGTTGATTATTATACAACCCCTTACATTTGTACAACCAATACAACACAATCTCAACTGTCCATTTAATTTGATGAATATGTAATTTAATAGAAGTTTTGATTGTTTCCTAATATAAAATATTGATTATAATTAATGAATTGTATTCATCTTCCATAAATATTTAAATCATAATAAATGAACTCTCATCATTTTCATAAATATTTCAATTTATTGGGTTGCATTGGTTGTACAAATGCGAGGGGTTGCATTTGAAACAAACTCTCTCTCTCTCTCTCTCTCTATATATATATATATATATAGAGAGAGAGAGAGAGGTTGGTTATTATACAACATTTGACATTTGTGCAACCAATATAACCCAATCTCAACCGTCCATTTCATTTGATTAATATATGATTTCATAGAAGTTTTGGTTGTTTCCTAATATAAAGTATTGATCATAATTAATGAACCATATTCATCTTCCATAAATATTCAAATCATAATAAATGAACTCTCATCATTTCCATAAAATTCTCAATTTATTGGGTTATATTGGTTATACAAATGCAACAGGTTGTATTTGAAACAAACTCTCTCTCTCTCTCTCTCTCTCTCTCTATATATATATATATATATATATAGGAGAACGATCAAATGAAAACCACTCAAATTATAAAAACCGTAAAAACCTCATTCAACCAATCATAATTTTTCATTTTGTTCTTTTTTTTTTGTAATTATGAGAGGTTGATTAATTATTTTTATTGTGGAGGGTGTTAATCATTGATATTATCATCTTCATTATTTTAATTTTAGAGAAATACACGAAACAGTTTCATTAAAATTTCATTAAGTAGTATATAAAACAATTTCATACCCATATATGAAACAACTTTATCAAAAAAAGTATTATATGAAACAATTTCATGAAAAAATTTCATAAGATTAAACAATTTCATGAAAAAATTTCATAAGATTAAACAATGTAATCGACGGATGAGGGTGGTTTGCACGGTTTTTACAAATTGGAGTGATTTTCATTTGATCGCTCCTAGACCAGGCTATTTTCGTGAGACCCATGAGACCACATTCTTACACTTGAAATTTCACAGCAAAAACACTGTGAAGGTTTAAAAAAGTCGAACCTGCACAGCAAAAACACTGTGAAGGTTACCTTTACAGCATTTTGCTGTGAAGATTCAAGTGTAAAAAGCTAGTCCCACGAGTCTCACAAAACAGGCCGATCTCACGTGATCCCAAGTCTATATATATATATATATATATATATATATATATATAAAGAGAGAGAGAGAGAGAGATGTGTTTATAGCTTATTGAACTTTAAAGATGAAGAAGGTTTATTTATACGCTTGTAAAAGTTAGGGGTCTCAATTAAATACCATGACAAAGCAACCAATACCTATACCAACTGTACTAATGTAATTGGTTGGTAGTACCATACTAACTATCTAAACTTGGTTAATACGTGGTATTAGAAATCATGTACCACGGTAATACCGTACCGTACCGACTTATTTTTTAAAATATTAATAAAAGTTTAATATAATACAACATATTTTGATTTTAAATTTTAAATGTTCTTATATTTAGTTTTGCCAAATTATGATATGAATGGATAGATATAACTTGTTTGAATTCAATTCGTCTAACATTAACAACCTTGCTAACTCGTCCACATCTCCATCGCCCGTCATCACTTATCGATGGTCGTTTGTATTAGATTACTAATGAATGGTTGTATTATAAGAAAATTATTTGAATACTTGTATATGTAGTAATAAGTGGTACAACATATATCAACATGTTATTTGATTACTCGATGGTTTTAATACATCTAAATCTAGTTAATAAAAATATTAACATAAATAATTCTATAACTTCAACTTTTAATTGGTATAATACCGTACCAATATATATCAATAGAAAGAAGTTTATACCAATTAAATATAATTAATTGATATATAATATAAATATTATTTATTAATTATAATTGATTAGTATATAATATCTTAAAAAAATATTATAATATCATACCATATTAACCAATTGGAATTTTCATATTTCTAAATTTGATTTAAAAGTTGCAACGGAGGCCTTCGAATAAACAAACTTGATTTTCGCGTACCTGCGTCTTCATGGGAGAGGCCACAACTTGGGTCCCACGTCGGGTCTCAAAAGTAATCACACGGTGGGGCCAGCTCATATTCTTTTAATAATGGTAGTTTTGATGAATTAAGGGCCGTCGGAAATGCAAACAGCCCATGTTAGGCCACCCACATGGGCTTGCAAACACAATTGCAAATCAACTTTTGTTAGAGTATGGATTGTCAAGTAGGAAAAACCTTGCAAAATTTGCAAGTCAATTTGAAAGCCATGTGGGCCACTCACTTAACTTCAATTTTATTTTTTTTCTTTTAATTATTTAAATAAATTATTTTTATATAAAACAATTAATTTTATAAATTAATAATGTTAATATATTTTTAATTACATTAATTATATAATAAATTAAATTATTTTAAACATTAAATTTTATAATTACATAAAATTATAATCTAATAAAATTATATCATATTATATCATATATTATTGTTTTAATTAACATTGAATTAAAATAAAACATGTTTATTAATTAAAAAATAATTAGAATGTATACATAAATAATTTATAAAATAGTTAATAAATGTTGTAGTGGGGACCACTTTTGAAAGTGTAGGTGACGTGGCACAGTTGAAAGTGTTGTAGGTGAATTGCARGTGTGTGGAAGATAATTGCAAAAGCTGATGTGDCACAATTGAAAGTGTAAATGGATTGCAGAGATGTGGATGGTCTTAGTTAAACTCAGACCCAACTTTTAATTCTTTGACCATATTACTTTAATTAATCTTTTCAGATCATGTACTTCCTCATCATTCAAAATTTCATTTAAAATTCAAATGTAAGATTAAATTACGTGTTTTTTTTTAATTAAGGTGCCGTTTACCAAACGTTTACCTAAGTAAACGTTTATCAAGTCACATTATCTTATCGGATGAATATGATAAGAACTAATAATCTTACCCGATAAGAGTGAGACAATGACCAAAAGAGTCTTACCCGGTAAGTGAGGACGACGACTCTTATCACGGTAAGCACTTACCATGTAAATTGTTGCGTACGATGCATTTTGGTGAACTAAAATCTTACCCAGAAAGAAAATGACAGTATAAAATTTTACCCGGGTAAGTGTTCGGTAAACGGCCCCTTAGTTTGGTTATTAGTTTGTATTTTTTTAATTATTGTAGTTGTCACTTGATTATACTTTTGGTTATTAAGGTTATCAATTTTTTTCGCTTTAGATTTGTCAAACTTCATGTTAAAAGCTTGTTAATTCAAGGATATTTTGGTCCTTTTGTCATTTATTTTTATTTTTAATTAAAAATAAATAAATTAATATATGTATATAGGGAGTTAAAACCACAAACCATATAATTGTTACAAACCCTACAAACTAATGTAACCATCTATGTAGATGACCAACGGTGTAGATTCAATGAGTTTCTAAATTTATTTTCAGCCTCATCTTTAACTAATTTAATAGCATCCTTTAAATTTCAAAATAAACAAAATCAAGAGTCGAGATTTGGTTTGTAGGGTTTATATTTGAATCTCTCTCTCTATCTATCTATCTATCCATAGGATATTTACTTTTGACTTAATCAGCTTAATGATTGTTTTGGCTTATTCGCACACCCATAGATGAATGTTTACTATACTTGCAGCTTAATAATAAATATATGAGCTTATTCGCATAGTATGGAAGGGATGCATTGTTCCATTAAGCCAAAATATTGACAAATATGCCCCTCTTAAAAACAACAAGCTTCTTTAAAAAATATACGCCTCTCTCTCACCCTTCCCCTCTCTTGGTCTATTATGCGTAGGGCTGTAAACGAACCAAATGAACATGAACGGAGGCTTGTTCATTTTCGTTCGTTTAACTTAACCAAACAAACGAACGAACACGAACGGTAAACGAACGAAAATCTTTGTGTTCGTGTTCGTTCGTTTAGAAATCAGGTGTGTTCGTGTTCGTTTATGTTCGTTCGTTAACATGCTAAACGAACGTAAACGAACGAACATAAACGAGCGGGCTAAACGAAAATAAACGAACGGGCTAAACGAACATAAATAAATATTATTTGAATTCAAAGTAAATAAMCAAAAGATTATATATTAAATTTAGTATATAAACGAACGAATATAAACGAACGGTAAACAAACGAACATTCACGAACATAAATGAACGAATATGACTCTTGTTCATATTCGTTTGTTTAACTAAACGAACAAAAAAATTTGTTCATGTTCGTTCATTTATTAAATTAACGAACATAAACGAACTTCCTGCCGAACGGTTCACGAACTGTTCGTTGAACGTTCGGTTCGTTTACAACCCTAATTATGCGTATAGTAACCAACCTAAGTGGTTTAAATTGTTTCTTGGCTTTCTTTGGTCACTATACTCTTAACTCTATATAATTTGGTTACTAGTTATAAGGGATTATATCAGGAGAGCTGAAATTTCAAATGGAAAACATCCACGTGAAGAAGGGAGATGTAGAGACCATACAGATGATCCAGTTTCTTGTTGCGAAAGAAAAAGAAAGACGAAACCATCGAAAAAAACTTTCACCCTCCATTTACATCGTTGACAGTACCCTACGCAATCTCAGCCCAAATTCGTTTAAGCCTCGTGTCGTCGCCATTGGACCTCTCCACAAAGAAGATGAAGAATTGCAAGATATTGAAAGCCATAAAGTGACATATTTGCTTGATCTATTTCTTCGTTTACCATCCATGCCAGATCGAAAAATGGACGAATGCATTCAAAGGGTGTATGCAAAGGTGGAACAAATCAGGGCATGTTATGCTGGGGAAATGAAGGACTATGATGACGGTGAAGTTGCAAAAATGATGGTCATTGATGGTTGTTTCGTGCTTGAATTCATTCTCAGGGTCTGTAACTATCCTGACGAGGATCCAATCTTTTACAATAAATTGGCCTTTCAAAATGTTATGCGTGATTTGCTCCTGCTAGAAAACCAGATACCTTTCTTTGTTCTTCAGGACATCTTTAAGTGCACCATCTTAGAATTTGATCCATCATCTTCTCTGCAAAGCTTAATCTTTTTATTTCTAAGGCCTATCAATCCCTTCGACATATCGTATGTAACCAACATTAATGATGGGGTGGATACAAGTTATGAACATGTCCTTGGCCTTCTGCAGAAATTTTGCCAGCCTGCTGATGCTAAGCCATCTGGAGTTTCAGTGTCAAGGTTCCATTCAGTTGAAGAACTGACCAATGCAGGGGTGAACTTTAAGCGTAATCAAGATGAAAGATGGCCACTCGCCATGGAATTTAAAGCAACGTGGTTTCCGTGCTTTCTTTGGGGGTGGGGTAAGCCTACTCTCACAATGCCAGTACTGCTTATTGCAGATCGCACTGAGTCAGTTTTGAGGAATTTAATTGCATATGAGCAATGTAGTCCTCTAAGTGATACATTACATCATATGCTGCTGCCATGGATATGCTAGTGGATACTCAAGATGACATTGTCAAAATGGTAGATTCAGAAGTTCTCATAAACCATTTGGGTACTAACCAAGATGCAGCAAATATGATCAGCAGCATATGCGAAAATGTTATCCTGGAAGATTTCTACTATTATCAACAATGGAACCAATTGTATAGCTACTACAATGGTTACTGGCCCAAAAATATTGCATGGCTGAGGCGTACTTATTTCAGTAGTCCATGGAATTTCATTCCGCTAGTTGCCGGAATCATCCTCTTTGGTCTTACTCTCGTTCAAACGTACTATACCGTCAACCCTGCGACTCGAGATCTAATTCATAGAAACTCAGATCGCAACTACAATAAAGGGTCGCAATGTGTATTTTTTTAAGTGTATCAAGCAGCGTTCTTTACGAAGTGTATCACGATATGTATTTTCGCTATATTCGTTGTTTTATGAATTATCACGTGCATTTTCGTTATTTTCGTTGCTTTACAAATTAAAGGAAATCACATTGTGCATTTTGTACTTATCTTGACTATCACAGTGAGTATCGTTTGTATGCATAATTTTTAAATATAGTTGATTTTAGGTATCATAATGTGAATCTTGTGTTCACATGGTATTCGATGAAATAAGGTTTGTCGCAGAGAGGAGAGATGAGAGATAAAACTTCTAATATCTAAAATACCTTTTAAGCAAAAATTTAAATCAAATTATTAATTTCCTAATTTATCGTTCGATTTGTTGTTGAAATTAGAGATCCCATGTTTAATCATGAGTTCTCCAGGATGGCCCCCTATACATGTGTGTGTATAGAGAGAGAGGACAAATCAAATACAAGCCGTCTAAATTTTACACACCGTATAAACTAATCTCGGCCCTTGATTTCACTACTAGAATATTGGGCATCACTGATGGTAAAAACCGTTGGAAAACCATCGGAAATGCACCACTAGAAAACTGGGCATTTCCGGCGGACAATTTCCGCCGGAAATTTTCCGGCAGATTTCCAGCGGATTTCCGGCGGAACTTTAAAAAGTCAAATTTTGTTGACTTCCGCCGGACAACCGCCGGAAATCCACCGGAAAATTTAAACCGGTTAGATTTCCGGCGGATTTATTAATTAAGGGTTAATTAATCTTTAAAAACTAATTAATATATGAAAAAAAGAAAAAAAAGATTTTACCCGTTTAAAAATTCAAAAAAAATAAATCCGTCGGAAATCCGCCGTAGAAAAATAATTTCAAAAAAATTAAAAAAAGAACCTTTTAGAAAAATAAATTTTAAAAAAATTTAAATATAAATCCGCCGGAAATCAGCCGGAAATATTTTTAGAAAAAAAAATTTTAAAATCTTTTATATGTTTCCGGCGGACATATTCCGCCGAGAATTTAAAAAAAAAATTAAAACATAAATCCGCCGGAAATCCGCCGAAAATAGTTTTTAGAAAAATAATTTTTATAAAATTAAAAAAAACCTTTTAGAAAAATAAATTTAAAAAAAATTTAAAAATAAATCCGCCGGAAATCCGCCGGAAATATTTTTAGGAAAAAAAATTTAAAAATCTTTTAAATTTTTCCGGCGGACATATTCCGCCGGAAATTCAAAAAATTCAAAAAAATTTAAAAAAAAACAWATCCGCCGGAAATCCGCCGGAAATAGTTTTTAGAAAAATAATTTTTATAAAATATTTGAAACCTTTTAGAAAAATAATTTTAAAAAAAATTAAAAACAAATCCGCCGGAAATATTTTTAAATTTTTTTTTAAAATCTTTTAATGAACCGTATTGAGTGCTAATGAACCGTATTGGTCTTTAACGGACCGTATTTGTTCTAATGAACCGTATTGGGCTTTAATGAACCGTATTGGGCTGTAAAGAACCGTATTGGGCTGTAATGAACCGTATTGGGCTCTAACGGACCGTATTGGGCTCTAACGGACCGTATTGGGCTTTAACGGACCGTATTGGACATTAATGGACCGTATTGGGCCTTAATGGATCGTATTTGTTCTAATGAACCGTATTGGGCTTTAATGAACCGTATTGGGCTGTAATGAACCGTATTGGGCTGTAATGAACCGTATTGGGTTCTAATGAACCGTATTGGGCTCTAATGAACCGTATTGGGCTCTAACGGACCGTATTGGGCCTTAACGGACCGTATTGGACATTAACGGACCG